TCATTCAATCCAGCCGCCTCAACTGTAAGTTGCTGACAAATCCTCCAAGCCGTTGACGGAAGAATGGATCCTTGTCAAAAGGAATTATTCAAGTGCATTCAAAAGCGACACGCACGTGTTGTACATGGGCGTGCCTTTGTATGAAAGATATAAGGCATGAAGAGGAAAGAGGTAGTCAAAGAATCACCGAAATCCAAATGAGTCTTAGTGCCGAAGGCGAAAACATCGTCGAAAATAGCTGAAACGCTTCCGTTTAGGGCGAGACACGACTCATGTCTCGCACCTGATTCCAGCCTTACGGGTGTTTCCAAGCCTCCGTCAGCCTCCGAGCCCACTCGTCTTGCTCCAGCACCTTCGGCGAAGCCCTACGATAGCGTGGATCTATCTAAATTTTAAGATTCCGATGAAAGATCATATGGGTCCTCTACACGAAGATCGAGGCAAAGCTCCGATGAATAAAACCCGAGTAGTTCCTCAGGCTGGGGGTCGTACAAACACTCCCGTCAAGCTAAAGGCTACTCAAAGGTGTCCTACCGTCTCTAAACAAACCGGGGCACCTCATTGTATGTGTTCGTACACCAGCACAAGAGGACTCCTGGCATTCATCGCCTGGGGATTCGTATTGGAACCTAGGAGCCCTTTAAGACCTCACGCTCACAAGTGGGTGGTTATAAATGTGTGACTCCTGATGCGACCTTAGATCATTCAAAGGAGACAATGAATCGTCCCAAGAATGTCAACAAGGCTCTTCATCCCCAAAAGAAAACGTGTTCGTCAAAAGACAACGTTATACTTAGGGTATCACACCAACAAATGATGGATTGCTCTAATGACCTACACCATCAGGCTAGGGGTGTGAACAAATCCCAAAAGAAGGATGTCCAAGAAACTAGTGTAGGATCTGAAATAGATACACTAGAATACTAGGAGGGTGAATAGTGTTCTTTTAAAAATTATGCAAAGTAGATTATAAATTGTAAAGAAAGAATGACAATAATTAATCTCAGAAAATTACAATCACAAACAAGAGTTTTTATACTGGTTCCACCAATCTGGTATACATCCAGTCCCCAAGCAAATCCCGCTTGAGATTTTCACTATAATTTTGAATCAAGTACAAAATTAAAACCAAACCTGACCAATTTGCAAGTCCCTGCAATTTCCAACACAAATTGACAACACTTTGCCAATTGCACACCAATCTCTAAACCAAGAGATCAACCTCTCTCAAACCAAGAGACCTTTCCTTTAATCAAACAACTCAATTCCTATAAGCCTTGATTTATAGTGTTGTGTAGCAGTGGCCTAGGAATAATTTTATCCTCTGGAAATTACCTAAATAATTTATATTTTGAATGAGGATAAAAGGCAATTTCAGAAACAATATTTTTGTCAATACTTAGCAAAATTTGAATGTTTTTAACTCTTGAACAATACACAAAGATTGAAGATTATATATTTATGATAATGTGTCATTTTTCTGAACATATAACCTTTTTATAGCCCTTGAAAAAACAAGTTTTTAAACTTTAAAAACGTTTAAAAACGGCTATAAACTATCAATGATTCAAACATTAACGTTCAAAAAAAACTACGTTAGTAGTCGACTATAATGCATAGTAGTCGACTACTCTGTAATACAGAAAGTCTGGAATTTAGAAACTGAAACTTAGTAGTCGACTATTCTTTTTAGTAGTCGACTACTCTGTATTACAGAAAGTCTGGAAAACAAAAATTAAATATCAGTAGTCGACTATAATTGTTAGTAGTCGACTATACTGTAAAACAAACGTTCTGTAAAATAAATTTCAAAGCTCAATAGTTGACTATAATTGTTTGTAGTCGACTACTCTGTGAAATAGAAGTTTTGTAAATCAAAATTCAAAGCTGAGTAGTCGACTATAATCCTTAGTAGTCGACTACTCTGTAGTTTTACAGATACTTATATTTTGAACTCAGACTTTAATAGTCGACTACTTTCTAATTAGTCGACTACTAAGGGTAAAAAATGTTATGTATGAAATATTTTTAGACTCAATGATTAACTAAATACTCTAATAGTTAACATAAGGGATTTCTATTGTTAACCAATACACTAAGTCTGTGTTAGTGTGTTCTAATTCCTATGTGTGTGTGTGTGAGAGTGATCAAGGCTTGTACAAAATTTCTAAGTAAAGAAAAATGTAAAAATTACATTGATGTATTTATTCTTCATCTTCTTTACTTCATAATGCCTTGAACTCATCTTGCACTTGTTCATATTTGATGTTGAAAACTGCATTTAAATGTTAGTGCATTTGTATAGCACACATGATTGACATTATGAATAAATTGTTATCATCAAAATTATATCATGGGGACATGATATCCAACATTTTCCTCCTTTTTGATGATGACAAATAATTTATGCATATGTAAGTATATTTAAAAAATAAAATATTAATAAACAAATATACTTACTCCCCCTGCATAAAAGCATATTAGAATCTACAATTCATATTTTTGAGTCTATAAAACATAAATTCTGAAAACATTCTCCCCCTTTGTCATTAACAAAAAGAAACACATATCTTTCCTAAACATATCATAATTTCCTCTTCATGAGCTAATACTTCAAACAGATCATCCAGATTATGAACATAGTCTATAACCTCACCCATCCAAATAGGTAGACAAAGACTTCCCATAAAAACCAAAAGTTTCACAATGTTCATCACCATAATCTGTTTAAAATATATAGCACATCAATTAACTAAATAAGCACCATAACAATAACTTAGAATGCAGTCAAATAAGAAACATCGTAGCACACAAATTACATATGTCTTAAAAACCAATAAC